ATTTTTTTAAAATGTGGAACTCAAGGTTCAACATCTTACGGGAAAGTATTATTTGGTGGATGCCGGTTATCCGTTGCAGCGAGGGTATCTCAAACCATATCCTGATACGAGATATCATATACCTGATTTTGAACGAGCAAGTAATGTTACAAGAAACAGAAAGGAGGTGTTCAATAAAAGACATTCTTCTTTGCGAGGCGTCATTGAGCGGACATTTGGTGTCTGGAAGAAGAAATGGGTTATCTTACGTGATATGCCTCCTTACCCGTTTCCAAAACAGGTTCAGATTGTGATAGCAACGATGACAATACACAATTATATTAGGCGACACCCGTCGCGACATGACGTTGATTTCCTCAATGCTGAAGCAAATCAACGGGAAACAGTTGAAGACTCCTCTGACAACCAAATGAGTAGTTCGATGTTACGAGATGACAGCGAACAATTAACAATTTGCAATAAGGAAGGAGAAGGTGCAACTGAAATGGCGGTCATTCGAAAACAAATTACTAATGCGTTAGTTAATATGTGATTCATTTGCAGTTTGTTAGAAAGACCAAATAATTGTAACGTATGAGTATTTGGTAGTAGAAGTTACTTTATTGGCACTGGTGATGTAATAAATAACTATTTTTGATGATTAAAGCGTTTAGAATATATGTTTCTAAATTTAAAACACTTTATATAAACTTATATGTTTTCAAAATTAACATGGATAATCTTATATGTTTTCAAGAGTTAATATTTGTATAGATCGATACATAGATCAAGATAAATTTTAAGCTTATATGTTCTCAAAATTACAATTTTTTTTAAAAAAATTTCTATTAAAACGAATTTTAAAAATAATATAATTTATCTAATTATTTAAGAATTAATTTTTTCATAAATTTTATGTAAATTAAAAGCATATTTATACAAATATATCAAAAATTTAAAACAGTTTTAACAATCAGGGGCAGTTTTGTCATTTCTACATGAAATATATATATATATATATATATATACCAACTGACAACAATAATATTAATATTAATATTATTATTTTTAGTTGAATGATTAGTGTTATATATTTTTAAAATAAAACGTGGTTGAGTAAATGAAAATAAGAAAAAATAATTAAGATTTATTTATCGTTAGATAATATTTGAAAATTTAAATATTAAAAATTAGGCTAATACAATCATAAGAAATAATTTAGTCTTAATTATCAGATTATATATTAGCATATTTAATATTTAAAATTTAAGGTTTTAAACAATCATAAGGAATTATATATTTAACTTCAAATATTATATAAAAGTAACTTAGTTTTCTTCTTATTTTAATTAATACATAATTATGTTTTTTTAAGTGACGTTTAGTATGCTTTTCTTAGTATTAGTGCAAATTTATTCTCTAATAATTATCGTGTAAATAATTTATATTTCGAGTCAATTATCTTTCTTTTTTGATTATTTCTTATATATTTTTACTTTTTTATTAGGTTTGGAACTATTTTTATATTTATTATATTTTTTTCATTTTTAATTCAATTATCAAAGGACTCGATTAATACTTGACCAAATTTGAACAAATTATTAAATAAAAAATTTTATACAATTTTAATTTAAAACTCTAATGTTCAATGAATTCAACATAAAAACTGTCCTACTTGATCAGTTATGTACATGAACAAACTAGTTTTTTGTTTGACTGGTAGTTTGTTGAATGCTAGATATTAAGTTAAATGCTTAGTCTTATTATATATTAAAAAGTATTTTAAATAAAATCAGTTAACTAAAATTTGATTAAAAGTATATTTATTAGTAGTATGTTATAATTTAATATTGATAAGTACAATATGTTTGGCATACATATGTGTGTATTACATCATTTTATGCAACCCTTTTTTATATTTTTGTAAGTTTATGTTATTTGTATGTGTAGTATATTGGGAAAAAATTAGCTTTTGGAGCAATTCACACAAACAAAGCAAAGACAGTGGCGAGTGCCCCAACGCTTTGAGAGAACGCCCCAAAACTAGTCTCAACTTCTATTTTGCACTAAATACAAAAGTGATCGGTATCTCAGCATCGGACACTGAGTGTCATAGCACCCTTAGAGAATGTTAGAATCTTAAGTTGATGATTACGAGCAGTGAAACTCAGCGTCCCAACACCACCCAACTAGCTCTGATGCGCCGCTACCAACTTAAGACGTATGATTTTTGGCGATTTTGCCTATAATTTTGAAATGTGTTTCTCTATTGTGTAAGGGCCTCAGATCTTTATATGAAGGAAGATCTGAACCAGAAGAGACTTAGAGCATGGAAGGAGAAGAAACTTTTGTGTGCGCGCGTTTGTGCTTAGAATGTCATAGAAGTGTGATTTCTCTATTATAATGCGAGAAAATGAATTCAAGTGGAGTAACATTGAAAAATTAAGAATCATGGAGAAGCAAAACAAGATTAATTCATGCTAGATTTGATTTTTCTTTATTTGTGAAGACTTTAATTTTGGATTTCAATGGAATTTACTTGATTTTCTTTCCACATGATTAGGAACTAAGTAACCTATGATTCTTTGAATTAGTAGTGTGATGAATCATGTTTAATCAATAAGATTTCTCTAAGACTATTTTGATGTTCTAAATGCAAGTTGAAGTGTAATCTTTCAGAGCTTTATTTACATTCAATTTCACAGCTTAAAAGTTAAAAACCCTTGTAATCTAAGATTATCGTCGTAAGCTAGAACAACAAGTTAACACTCATGTAGAAGAATATGGAATGCCCTGAGAGATTTTGTGGAGTTAACAAAGCTTAACTATAATATAAGCTTCTAATGCTCGACACGTATATTAGTATGATATATTGTGCTTAACATTTTGGGATCCATATCAATAATATTTTAAGATTACTTATTAATTGCATATTTATTTTATTAATTATGCATCATTATCCGTCATATTCAATTAAACCATATCTTATCATATTAGTTAATTTATCATTATATAAATATATAATGTCGATTTAGCGGTTATATAATCAATATTAATTATATATTTTTAATATATTTGCCCTTCTATGAATGAAGGGTTTCTCAGCACTCGACAATCCAAGTACTGGCTCTCTTGATTATATGAAATGCTTTTGCTTATGGTAAATATTCATCATTTTATAGCTTTTGATTTTTTTTTAAGAAAAAATAATTTATTTATTTTTGATGAATATATATATTAGGTTAATCCAATTCCATCTAATTCTTTTTAATTCAAGATATTAATTTATCAGCACTTATATATCTTTAATTTGCAAAATATTTGTGCTTGCAACATATATATGGTATCTTATTTAATTAGTGTAAGCTTTTTTGATTGATTGTTAATTCATTTGATTAAAATTTTATATGAAAAGCCTGATATTAATTCAAATTTTTAGCTTGCTTGTTCACTTATTGAAGTGTTCTTTCGATTAATTTAAGCAAGTAAACAAGCCAAGCATAAAAACATACATGTAAAAGCTTGACTTAAACTAAAACCAAACATGAATAACTTCTAAAATGAACCGGCGATGTTCAATCCATGACATAATCAAACTCAACTCGACTCAGACTCGATTATAGCCCGAGTGGTAGGCTCCATAAGTGGTTGGGTTTTGGTTCTCTGCCTTTCCAAAATATGAAAATTGTCTGTAAATATTTATACAAAATAGAAGGAAGAAGATGAAAATTAGACAATTTTATGTACAAAACTGAATAATTCCAATTACATTTTAGCATTTTAGCAAACCAAAATAAATTAATACATGATAAGTATTATGTTTCCACGTGGTTACAAGACGACTTTTATAATTTGGAAGTGTGTAATACATGCTGTTATTTAAATAATACGGTCATCTCTTGTTTATATAATCAACATGCGGCTACTTCCTTTATACATCTATATATATGTACATATAACTTACAGGTTAGCTGTCATTGACTTTTACCATTAATTAGAAGGAACAAAAATTACAACTACTTCAGCTATTCATAAATACGGATAATATAAATTAAGCAAGCCTCCAATCCCTCCCCTCTTTCTCTACAACAAGCAAGCTCTTGTATAAATATGGGGGCTATTATGACGTAGACATAGCATCCAAGAAATAGTTTATCTTCTCAGTCTTTTTAGTTAGTTATAACTCTGAAGCATCGTATCCATGGCTGATGCTTCTCCTAGCTCCGGCCTCAGTCATATTACAGTTCTAAGCATAGATGGAGGAGGCGTGAGAGGAATCATCCCTGGAACCATCCTTGCTTTTCTTGAATCCAAGCTTCAAGTATGTGGCTAAACCTCATATAATTTACTAGTATATGCATGTGTATGTCTTTAATGAGCTAAAGAAGTTATTATTTAATTGCAGGAGCTTGACGGAGAGAAGGTGAGGATTGCGGATTACTTCGATGTTATTGCAGGAACAAGCACGGGTGGGCTTGTCACCACAATGCTTACTGCTCCAGACAAGTCTAATCGTCCCCTGTATTCAGCCAAAGATATAAACGACTTCTATCTGAAGAACTCACCTAAAATCTTCCCTCAAAAAATGTAACCATTACCAATATATAAATGTAATCAAACTTAAATCGATTTGAAGTTCTAATTTCATTAGTAATTGATTACATAGATAAAATGTTGCAGGGCAGGTTTATTTGGCTCCACAAGTAATTTAATAAATGAATTTGCTGGACCTAAATATGATGGGAAATACCTTCACTCCCTAGTTAAAGGTATTCTTGGGGATACAAAGCTTCATCAAACACTTACCAATGTGGTCATCCCAACTTTCGACATTAAGCTACTCCAACCCACCATATTCTCCTCGTTTCAGGTGGATTTATTATAATTAAGCTCTGATTAAACCTATTTATTAATTACTAATTGTACATTTTTATCCCCATATATATATAATGTATGAACAGGTGGAATCCACTCCATTAAAGGATGCTAATTTATCAGATATCTGCATTGCAACTTCAGCAGCACCAACTTATTTGCCTGCTCACTACTTTGAAACTAAAGACTCGAAGGGCAACACTCGAAGCTTCAATCTTGCTGATGGAGGCCTTGCAGCAAATAATCCTGTAATTAATCTTACAAACTAAATAATATAAGTATGAATAAATATATGTGGGTGTGGAAAAAATATTTTGTTGAAAAAAATAGTTTTTATTATATCATATTCTATTATGGCAGCCCTACTGATGATAATATATCTGTATATATCTACGTGCAGACTCTGCTTGCAATAAATTTGGTGAGTAAGAACATATTCAAGCAGTTGCAAGATGACTTTCCTGTGAAACCTGTAGAATATAACAAGTTTCTGGTGCTATCTCTCGGCACTGGAGCGGCTAAATTTGAAGAGAAATATGATGCAAAGAATGCAGCTAAGTGGGGAATTCTTCCATGGCTGTTTTATAATGGCCATACGCCTATCATAGATATGTACTCCCAAGGCAGTGCAGATATGGCTGATATATTAACAGCCATACTTTTCCAAACTCTGCATTCTGAGAAAAATTATCTTCGACTTCAGGTATATATCTTTATATAATATATGGATTATATGAGTTTATTTGTTAAATTAATGAGGATTATTAATTGAATTAATTGCAGGATGATACATTGAGTGGAGATTTGGCTTCTGTGGATGTATCAACTAAGGAGAACCTGGAGGGGTTGATTAAGGTAGGGAATAATCTGTTAAAGAAGCCTGTTAATCTGTTAAAGAAGCCTGTTTCCGAGGGTGAATATAGAGAATGGGAGATACGAGCCTGTGGAAGGAGAAGGAACTAATGAGCAGGCACTCATTAGATTTGCTAAGTTGCTTTCAGATGAAAGGAAGAGGAGGATTAATGGTGCAAAATAGTTCTTTTCTTTTTTCAATTAATGTTTTGAATAAGTGAGAGGAGGAGAATGTGTGATTTCGTTAATTTTGTTGGTTAGTGTTGTGATTAGAGATTTGTGGAAGATAATTGTTATTTTCTTCTAATTAATGAATAAATTGTTGTAGCTTGATCCACCATTTGAAAATTAAGAGGATGATGTTATTTTAATCTGTCATAATTTTTTATTTGGTCTTTTTTATATCAAATTTTGTAATTTTGTTAAATTACAAAAAAAAAAAAAAAAGGTTTTATATTTTAATCAAGTGGATTGAGTGTGATTGAATTACTATTTCTTGTTTTATATAATATCTTGAAAAGATAAGGCATGGATGATCGACCAACCACCTGTTATAAGCCATAGTTATCTTGTACTTATTATTATTATTATTATTATTATTATTA